GCCGATGATATACTTATAATAGTTGAAGATCTAGATATGGCAAGAGAGATGGTACAGGAACTCGTTGTGACTATAGAAAATGTAGGTTTAAATATAACTATCTCGAAAACAAAAATCATGACCAATTTGGTACCCAACCAGAACATCAGTATTGGTGGGAAAGAAATAGAATTCGTAGATAGATATAAATACCTGGGACATGAAATTATGATCGGCAGGGATAACCAGACTCATGAACTGAAGAGAAGAATCGACCTTGGGTGGGCAGCATTTGGAAAACTGAGAGAAACTTTTAAAAGTGAGCTGCCCACATGCCTAAAGAGAAAGGTATTTGATCAGTGCGTCCTCCCAGTCTTGACGTACGGAGCAGAAACACTTACCTTAACAAAAGCAGCAGCTACCAAACTGAGAGTCACGCAGAGAAGAATGGAGCGGTCCATGTTAGAAATAACTCTGCGAGACAGAATAACCAACGAAGAGATCAGGAGAAGAACCGGAGTGACTGACATCATCGAGAAGATAGCCAGACTAAAATGGAGATGGGCAGGACACATAGCTAGAATGACAGATACGCGATGGACAAAGAGGTTATTGGAATGGAGGCCAAGGGAAGACAAAAGAAGCGTCGGTCGACCACCTACAAGATGAACTGACGATTTAAGAAGACAATAAAAACTGGATAAGAGCGGCGCAAGATAGACGGGGTTGGAAACATGAGGAAGAGGTCTATGTTCAGCAGTGGACTCTTGAGGCTGGATGATGTAGAATGAGTGTTGACAATAAATTTAACATACCTATCGTTTGAGAGGGAATCATCGGAGTAGCAGGAACTTTTGTCGGAATTTCTCCTATGAAAAAACTCCTCGTTTGCGATTTGGGCTTCGATTTCTTGTCTTTTTGTTTCGTTTTCTTGGCTGGTCTTGCGGCCGATGCCTCGAGTTATAGACGGGGAGTTGTCAGCCGGTTCGGAGATTATAAATTGGGGAAGTTTCTGAAGTCTTTGGTTGTCCAGGCTGTCCATGGAATCTTCGGAAGTGTCCGAACCAGCCACTAAGGTTACCTCGCTTCCTGAAAGACAACGCGATATCTCGGTCAGACAATATGTAACATTTAAATAATATTTACAAACAAATTTAACGTAGCTAGCATATGAACATGTTTATTTTCAATTGTGTAACGATTCAAATAATTTAGATGCACTTCCTTATATACAAAAAAGGTTCTTTGGAGTGTTTTCATATAATGTTATAACGTTATAAACGTCACACGTTTGTTTTTTTTTTTTTAAATAATTATTTTATTCCAATTTCTTTTAATTTTATTCATTTGTTAACCTTCTATTTTGTTTTACTATTTCTCTTTTGGCGCTCAACTTTTCTATCAGCTATAGTCCATTTCCATCATATTGATAGCACATTATGCATGCAAATCCCTAAACTGTGGATACTAATCCCTAAATAAAGTTGCCAGTGTCGGAGTGATGGAGATTAACAGGTACTAATGAATTTGCAAGAAATGTAAGATGTTTATTTTATTGGTTATAATATAATTTGTGGCCGTAACAGGGCCGATTTGTAAAAAAAAATGAATATTATTTTAATCAAATTCCATTTCAGATTCACTGCTTTCTTCAGAATCTAAGGAATCTTCAACTCCAATGTTAATTATTACCGGTTCCAGCATTGCATCAGTTATATTTTATTTTCTTCCTTGTGAGCATGACTAACAGCATTTTTCCAATTTTCTGGAGTTACTTTTGATAAGGACTGTTCTAATAATTGTTGTAAGTCTTCTAATTTAAAAGTTTTGTTGTTGCGTCCGACTTCACCCTTTACTTGAGACCATATATTTTCTATCGAATTCAGATCACAGTGGTATGGGGGTAAACGTAAAATAATTACATCACGGTTTAATGCCATTTCATCAATTACATATTTTTTATAAGCTGCTTTATGTTGCCTTACAATAGGTAATAATTCCTTCTTTGTCGAATTCTCCTTGTACTCAATTGCGTGTTTATCCAACCATTCGATTATCTCTCCTTTTTTCCATGCCGTTGTTGGCAATTTTTCTACTAGTCTTGAATGGTAACTAGCATTATCCATGACTATGACAGAATTTTTTGGAATTAAATCCAACATTTGCTCAAAATATTCTTCAAAAACGTCAGCAGTCATTTCCTCGTGGTAATCTTTGGTTGATTTTGAGGCAAAACTTAATAATCCACCATTGACAAAACCGTATTCGTTTCCAATATGGGTTATTATAAGTCTGCGTGTTTTTCCAACGGGAATATTGCTTATTCCAGTAGATACACCTTCGATGAATGCCTGACGGGAACTTTTCACATTTGTATCAACCCATAGATATGGTACAGTATGACCTTCATTTAGCCAAGTCTCGTCCAAATTTTCTTCTATTCTTTTGCCAACGAAATCCCATCTCTCTCAATAGTCCCCATAATTTCTTGTTGCTTATGATTGGTAACTCTTCGTTTTCTCTAATTAATGTTTGGATTTTGTCCAATGTTGGAAATTCTTTGTTAAAAAAAAATGATTGGACGCTGCGTCTTATCATGTTTTTATGTATTTCTTCAATTTCCAAAGGTTTACTCCCTCCACTCTTTTTGGGAGATGAAACAGTTCCTCCTTTTCGTTCTTTTAGAAATCTATAAATTGTTGCTTCTCCAACCCCTGTCATATTTGAACACATGTTAACGATTTCACGAACATTACTTAAAGGGCGTTGATGTACAAGTGCATCGTGTACATTTAATATTAGATTTTTCTCTTTTAGACTGAAGGCACCTTTAAAACCACACTTAACCGGGATAAAACCTGTTGTCGACGTCATTTTTAAATGCAAATAACAACATATCGACACCAAAAACGTAGGTAGGTAAGACATGAACGATGTACATTTACAAACTAAATGGAAGATGCAAACAATTTCTAATTTATATTATTGGCATAAGCTGTAATGTGGCATAAAAACTACTTAAACTATCATTAGTGAAGCCTTATCAGTAATTCCAGGTAATCGTTCAAAGAAGGTATTCTTTTTGTGCCAGGCGATAACTTGTATAGAAAACAATAATCACCTTTAAATTACTGTTTACATTTATTTATTTCGTGAAACATTGAATTCTCTCGTTAATCACCCGTGTATAATTAACAATAATCGTGTGGCATATATACCGACGTTTTTTACGCACAAAAAAGGTATAGTCAGATTAATGGACACTTATTTTACAGAAGATTTTTTAAAAGATAATGAATTGTTGACGGCATCTTAAAATATTAATTTTTTTTTATTTATTTCAAAACAAGTATAGGGTGACGCCTATGGTTTTTTTGACCTCTTGAGGATTTGGATACATAATCTGCTATCAATATGATGGAAAAGGACTATAAATATTTTTTTAATCATTCTTCTATTTAAAAATACAATCATTTCAGTTCTTTGTATATCCCCCGTATTTACACCGCTTATACTAATTTTAATCTAGTTCCAACTAGCTCCAAAACTTGTTTGTGTGTTTGTCATGTCAATTTCCAAATCAAAGAATTTGAAACTGAGAATTTTTTCTGTATCGTTTTAATGTATTTAAAGTAGAATTTTCATTCAGAAACCCATTTTTATCAGTTCAATCTTTCCTTGGATTTTTATTTTATATTAGATTTGTCTTTTGCCCCCTTTTTGGTGGGCTACCCACGTGGTGTTCACAACTGATTATTCAAGAGATGTAGCTGAGATCACAATGGACCAATATTTCCATTGAAGTAATTACTATTTTAATTGAAACGTCAAATTCTGTTGACGTTTGAGGTGCTTCTGTAATACTTCCAGTTTTTCGTTGCTTTAAAAGTCTATAAATAGTTGCTTCTCCAACTCCGGTTATATTTGAACACTTAGAAAGTATACTCCGAACATTACTTTTAAAATGTTCATGTAGAAGAGCATCATGCACATTTGACACTAAAGTTTTCATTGAGAGGATTAAATGACACTTTAATTTTACAGGAGTAAAATTACACGTTTGTGGCATGTTTACTAAACAAGTTCACTTATTAATATCGCTTCTTATTAGAGAACTAATAATTCTGCGTATTATAATCACAGGACTTTACAAACACAACCTGTTAATCTGAACTAAAATGATTCACAATCTGCAAAACACGTTCTGCCGCTTGGAAATTTTAATCCTTTCTAAGAACGTTGAGAGCTTACATATAGACCCTCTCCTTTTTGGAAATTGTAATTAGTTTATATCTGTGGAGATTACGCACTTGTCATTTCTTGAATAAAATATTTTATTTTAGAAAATCTCCTTCACTGTTTTATGATGCTATATTGAGTTTATCTCACGTGCTAAACTTTGAGCTATCAATGATTTTCAAATAACCGAAAGTTTTCCCATGATTTTTTTTATAATTCTCCATACATATCACTTTTTCTAGGTTCGTTGCAACTTTGGCTGCATTAATCATTAATATGTGCAAATATTTTCATGTTAGTAAATAGGAAAAATGAATATCTCCCTAGATACTATTTCAAAAACTTGTTTAATATAAGTTTTATATCTAGTTTTACAATTATCGAGTCGAATAAGTATATTGTAAACAGTTATTTGGAACTATTTGTAAGTTTGACGAGATTTTTTATTACCAAGACAATCCTTGGAACGTTTCCAAGAAAAAAATCGTCACAGTGTAACAAGCTACATACATTTATGATGAGAGATAGTCAGATTCGTGTTGTCAATAAATAATTTTCCAATACTTTCTATAATTTTGCAACTTTTGATAATTCTAAGCATTTAAAAATACCATTGAAGTATGTTGGTTATTTACAAGATATTTTACCTTGAATATTATTTACCTTATTACACAATCCTCATCCTTCCATTAAACCGTCGGGTCTAATAGCTCACCCTTTGTGCACATACCGCCTCACAAATGAAACCTGCCACTTTCAATTAAGTAACATTTTCCAAATGGTTACTCTACGCGATTCATGTTCCTCGATAACCGACACTTACCTAGGACATCCGTTACCGATATCTGAGGGTGACTTTGCTCACTTTTCGGACAGCTCTGCACCGGAATTTCTTCTTGGATCATGTCGAGACCGGGGCTTCCTGGATTGCTGATCGGCGAATTCGTGAGACTCCTATGGCCGTGAATGTTAAGAATGTGCAGGTAGTTTTGAGGCGCTTGTCCACCCATGTAGGATACATTCGGTGCGAACGTGTCCATTTTCGATTCGTCGTGTAGTTGACTGCGCATTTCCATCTGAAGGCTGCCTGAAGGGATACCTTGGGTTATGGAACCCGTACTAGCTGTGTTCAGGCCACTAATACCTAAAAAAAATTTTAAAATAATAGTTGTAGACTATATTTCTAAACTTCTAAACTATATTTCTAGTAAAATATACTTAAGGTGGAGGTAGCTATCAAAAGACAGCTCTCAACTAGCGGAATTGGGCCCATCTTCCAACTTTGCTGATATAATAAAAAATAATGATTAAACTTCGATTAGAAACTTTTATCTTTTACTGTACAACCTCAAACAGCGTCCCGTGATATAGTTGAGTATAAAACAGTGACGTATCAGTGGAATGGCAAATTAAATTTAAATCTTCTTTGATTTATTCATGAAGCTGTCTCAGTGAGGCACATATTACTTACAATATAAGGTCTCCATATAAGTCCAAGAAAATGAATGAAAGTACCGTCCATCAAGTGTGTTTTATTTCGAAGCCACGACCAAGTTCCAAATAATTTAAGTATATTTATAATTATTAGAATACGTATTTGTAAGAATGCAACAAAAGAAAAAAATTAAGCCTACAGAAAGATGCTTACCAGACGAATTAGAACAACTGTAGAGAATTACCATACAAAGAGAAGAGAAGAGAAGAAAAGAGGATACACAAAAGAAAAAACGAAACCACTTAAATAACGAACTTAAATATAGAAAACCTCAACAGAGAGAAAGAATTTAGAGCATTCTATAAGAAAGTTAACACGAACAGAATAGAATTCAAGACAACCACAAGACAATGCAGAAGTCAGAATGGTGACCTATTAATAACAAGGTCAGATGTATTGAAGAGATGGGTGAAATATTTTAACTCTTTCAGGCTTAGTGGCTCCACGGTGGAACCACCTTTAAACAATTTTTTTCTTACTGCCCGAGTAATCGTACGCTGGGACCACCAGACGGAATGCGATGTAGACGTCGTGTATTTCACTTCCCACGCGATAACAAAATTCCAGGAGCAGTTGTGCACATTGTACATAATACATTTAGCGCGCTCACAAGTGGATGCTATAATAGTGAGGTTATTTAGTGTTAGTGTAGTAAATAAACAAACATTCTTCTACTGATAAAATGTATGTATTATGTTAATTTGTTGATAAATAGATGTATTTATGTATTGCCTATTGATTTTTTATGAACTACGTAGATAACTAAGTGAATTTTGATATTTTGATTGGTGGTTCCAATAGGTGCCACTAGGCCGATCAGTAAATAATAGGTATGTTTTGTTACAGAAATCCAAAACGAAAAGACATCTTGATTTGAGTCAATTAACAAGTCATGACGCTTACGATTTACTAGCAGATATCCCATCGGAGGGATCTGATGTATTCGATTTTGATGAGAACGAGGATGAAAATTTCGACATGACTTTGGAGTCAACTGTTTTAGATGAACAAAACGATATTTCAGACAATGAAGATGTTGCGCATGACAGTTACTGTGAAGACGAGGTATCAGTTGAGGTATGAGTTAAAATTGACCACCGACCCAAATAGTGCCGGTCAACTCCGTCCTTTCTCAGAAAACGTTGGACCAAAAGTTCCTGATACTATAGACGCTCCTCTTGATTTCTTCCTTCATTTGTTTAGTGAGAACCTGTTGAATACACTTGTCTCCCAAACTAATTTATACGTAGTCCAAGAAAATTAGAAAAACAACACTCCCACAACACTTGAAGAAATAAAGTGTTTTTTGGGAATAAACCTTTTGATGGGTGTGAAAAAGTTGCCCAGTTTTGATCTGCAAATTTTGTTATCCGCAAGAGTATTTGACTAACTATTTCAATTTTGTTGCATTATAACGCGACTTGATAAAAGACAATATTTACGCATGTGGAACAACTCGAAAAAATAGAAAAGATTTCCCAACTGAACTTGCAATGGATGGATAAAAAACCCATTCATTTTCTAAGCAATTTTCAGAAACCTGAAGAAAATGTCACTGTGAAGAGGAAAGAAAAGGATGGTACATCATTGGAAATTAACTGCAAACAATTAGTATAAGATCACAACAAGTATATGGGCTATGTAGATAAGCCTGATATGTTTGTATCTTGCTACGAATTGGATAGAAAATCCAAAAAGTGTTGGCATAGAATTGTTTTCCATTTTGTTGACCTAATATTACTAAACTCATATACAATTTTCAAACAATCAACAACTGGTAAGAGTATGCCTTTGAAAGAATTTAAAATTACTGTGGCCACTGGTTTGATTGGAGCAGACCCCCAAATGCCTAAATTTGGAAGAAGAAGCATAGACAAACCAAGAACGAGTAACAGGTTCAAAAAACAAGTTTCTCTAGAAATAAGAACTGACAAAGTAGCCCATATGCCTCATCAAGGAGCCAAAGTACGTTGTACACACTGCAGTACCAAGGCAACTGCTCGTCGTACAAGATGCCACTGTACTACATGTCAAGTAGGTTTATGTCTATCTGAAGAAAAAAATTGTTTTGTTCCATTTCACACCAAATAAGTTTTTCGTTTGTGGCCTAGTGGTTCCACATGGAACCACTTTTTTTTGCACTAATTACAAAAATATAATATAAAAACCTTTGATGTGTCTATTTTTTGCCCTAATATGTCCTAAAAACAAATTATTTGCCATTAAATATAAACAAAAAAAGCCCGTCCACAAAGGGTTAACCAGACATTTAATATAGAGGAAGAAAAAGAAAACCTGGAAGACGAAAGAGATATAAAGCCAGAATGATGATGATAAATACGTATTTTGTCGCTTGTTAAAGAATATTTATTAATTATGGTCCATAACTTATTTTCTCTTGTTTACCTTTTGTGTTGAGAACTTTATTCTCCATAATTATACTTCAAAATATTTGGAATTATGAAAGAAAGGGTTGTAGAGTTATTTTCAAATCAATTTAATTTGTTATTGCTATGATTTTTGTATCATACGAGGAGTATTTTGCTTGTAGCATTTTAAATTTGATTGATTCTTTGAAGTATATTTAAAGTCGCCTCGTATATGAAATCGTCTTAATAAAACGAAGAATGTTTTCTGTTTTTTAGTTCGTATCTTTCGAAAAGTGTTTTCAATCATTCTAACGTCGTAGAGTAATAAATCCATTTAATTGTTGTTTATTTTACTGCGGCGATTTCTTTTCATGTAAATGCGTTTCAGAGGATATCTACGTCGTTCGTTGGTTCTGCTATTTCAGCAGTTCGTTGATTTTCAAGTTAAGCGAACAAATTTTTAATTTCGTCACTCTCGGTGGAATCGCTGCCAAAGTCAGTCGGTTTCATTGTTTAGTCCGGATTTTCTTTAAATTCGTTATTGCATTTTTGTTATGGAAAAATGTGTAAATAGTAGCAGTGTGGAGTAAACCGAGACAAAGAAAACAGTCAAGTTTTGGAATTGAGATTCGGAATAGCTTGCGGGTGTAGTCTTCCAAGCCGTTTTTTTTTTTAATTTGAAAAGTGAATTTTTACTCAAAATGCGATCTGGCAGTTTTTTTGTTGAGTTGACCACCGATTTGTTCGTGCTGTGTTTTATCTGAGAGATTTGTAAAACGGCGTTTCCAGCCGTTTAAGAGGTTCACATGATTTTGGGAGGAAATTGAGTGGGCGAGTTTTGAAGATTGCAGTTTTTTGTCATTCAGGATGATCCGAAGCCCGATTCCAGTGGCCAACTTCCAAAGAATTGTCTATTTGTGTTCATAAGTCACTTCAGACTGAATTGCAGCTTAAGTGGGACACAGTTGTATATTTTGCAGTGTTTTGGTTCAATTCCGATTCCAAAATTTTCTTAAAGGAAATACATCAGTCAGTGATACCAGGTACTTTTAAAATTAAAAATTACTTTTCAAAGTAAAAATAAATAATTTTTCAATAATAAAAAAATTTGCTTTGATGACAAACTAAAAAATTGTAAATAAATGAAATTATAAATTTTATGGATTAGCTAATTGTCCTATTAGTTTTCTTTTAAATAAAGTTGACTGCTATAATTAAAATTAATGTTTCAAAAAGGTTTAATATTTCATTTCGATATATGACAGTTAGTATTATCCTGTCTCGACATTAATACATAACCATAAAGTTGAATTGTTTTGTAACTGTTTGTGGTATACATAAATAAATGTTAAATTTTATTTTCTTAACTTTTTATTTATTTTTTTTAAGCTAACCCTTTTTGAGTTTATTTGAAAAAGATATGTTTTGATTTTATTTTCTAATTATTTCCCTAGTTACAACTAGTGGTTGTAATAGGCATAATTAGGCACCTCAAGTGGCGCCCTATAATCAAATTTCTTGAGGTGTTTTCTTGTTGATTTTTATTCTGTTTATCCCAAAAGCCCTTTATTTCTTTTTGTTGTAGTTGCCCCATTCTAACCCCCATTTTACTTATCCACGACCCCAGCTCTCCTGCGAAACCCTGAGTGTCCGTTCGCACAAGTAACGTATATTTTGCTTGCCCTATCTCCACCCCCAATAGTTTTTCCCCCAATTTTCTACCCCTTGTATTAATGCCCCCTGTGGTAGGCAAAATATTATCGTTACATGCTTTCTAAGCCAAATCTATATTCTAGGACTTTAACTGACACTTTTTTTTTACTAATATTTACTAATACCACCCTCACACCCTAAATAATTAATAAAAACTTCCAGGACCCTCCAGTTATGGATTATGGATAAGCAATGAATAAAAACAAAAGAGGTTTAAAAAGAGGTTTAAAGTAAAAAAATCGAGATTTAATAAAAGAAAATTAAACGATACCAAACTTGGTGAATCAACAATTTTCGAATTATATTGTGACAGATGTTAACTTTTAGAAAATTGTATATATCGGACCTGTTGGAGGGATGCCGGTTTTCAACATCCCTTCCATAGAGTCTTGTATGCCAACTGTGCCTCTTTCAGCGGTTTTGTACTTGCTGTAAGTCCAATTAGTCCGCTAGCCTTCGACAGCTCAGTAGAGAAACTTAAATGGACTTTTAAAGATGCTTTGATCTGGCCTGTTGAATTGATATAGAGTGAAATAAAACAATTGCTTGTTTAGAGAGAAACTGTAATTGAAAAGAGGGCAAGAAATAGAACTTATAAACTTTGAGTGTATAACTTATCGATGGAACTTAATTTGAAAATTACAATTTACGAACGAAAGCGAAAACACCATAACACTATTCACATTTTAAGGCTTCCCGGCTTATTGCGTAACTTGCAACGTGGAGAAGATCTCTCCGAACTTGACAAGATAGATATGGGCCCTACGAAAGTCGGTAATTCACTGTCGGTGTCGACTCTCGGCCCCTTTGAAATATTTTGTTTATGCATTTTTAATAGCCGGTCTATAGTCAAATTGGCGCCATGGGCGGAGACTAACATTCCCAGAAACAAGTCTATGCAGACTGGATTTATTTAGGTGCGAAAATATTTATTTGTTACGAAATAGAATTATTCGTTTGGATATATAATTATTTGATTGGAGATTATAGTTCTCCAACACCAGTAACTGAAACACTATATCTATCTATATTATGTGTTGTCTGTAAAATCAACGCGATTTTAGTGTAATATACAATACAATATATACAAATAAATAATCTTCTTTATACTTTGGTTTCATGATTAATAATAAGAAAAGTCTCACCTTGTGTAATGGACGACACACTACTTCCTTGTGCATTCTGCATATACCCTCCGAACACTGGCGAGGTATTAGGGCTCAATAATGGATTCAATATTGGCGAATTACTACCGGAATATAACCCCAAATTCGAAACTTGGCTAAACACCGACGGTCCAATCGGCGAAGACGTCAAATTCGTAGTAGTATAAGGCGACGAATGTAACGGGCTTCTATTGATAGAATCATACGAATACGTTGGACTCCTATTGGTGGCTTCGTATGGTCCGTAGCTGTGTTGCTGGTAGTTTTCGGGAGGAAGGCCCAACGTTGGGTCTATATTCGAAGAGAAATTTTGAAGATCCTGCATCGTCGACGACTCCGGAAGAGTTTGATAGAACTGGTGGATGGGGGATGTACATTCGGACATGTGGTGCCGTAATGGTTGCTCCGACATGAATTTTTGGTGAATTGGTGAACCTAAAATAAACCAATATTTTTAGCAAACAAGGTGTATCAAGTCATCGTTTATACATCATCTAACTATAGAAAAGGCTTTGATAACAGGTCACACCGTTTGCTCATTAAACTAACGACGCCATCTAGGAAAGAAATATGAACTACCATATTTCAATCAGATTTTGTTCTTGCAACTGAAAAAAAGTCTAACCAAAAGATACCAAAAATATTACTTTGAAAGAAGTACCAGTTACTGTGGAGAGGAAGGGATAAAAAAGTGGGAGGATATATTTACTTGGGACATTTAATATGAATCTAGACTGAAGAATCCGCATAACAGGGGCTGCCGTTGGCAAACTTAAAATTGCCCCCAAAAACAATAATATTCCCATAAATCTTAAGGCCAAAGTTGTCAATTCTTACATCCTTCCAGTGATGACATAAAGTCTAGAGATAATTACGTTGACAATAAAAGCCGCCAAGAAAATGAGAGTAACACAGCGCTCCGCGGAACGACTTGCTGGGAATAACTTTAAATAATCGCGTCCTCAATGATGAAATAGGTAGAATAAAAGTAGGGGATGTAATATTGCTGCTGCATTGAAGTGGTATTTGATAAGCATGTTGGGTAGATCCAAGTGTGGGTCGAGGGTAGACCTCCAAAAAGATGGCTGGCTGATGTGAGAGAAAAGGCAAAAAGACAATGACACCAGGTAGCAAAAAACAAATTAAAATGAAAACGCCAACGGGAAGCTTATAATCAGGAGTGGACAGAGCTGAAGAAAGAAGAAGACAATGTTTGGCATACGAAGTCAATTTGGCGTCCAACGTGGGGATCGATTTTACACCCGAGTAAACTAGTTGGAGCATCGTATTGAGATGAAATTTTATTGGAAATAAATATCGGTACATTATTTGTTATACAAAGTGAATTATTGTCACACTTTGAAGACCTCTTCAATGGAAACTGATTGCTTTTGAGTTGCTAACGGAGAAATATTTTTATTGATAGTATTAGTGATTAAAATATTGAAATTAGTGATTATATCGATTGATTCAGATCTTGCTGATTTGAAAATAAATAAATTTTTTAAGTGAAATTACCTGGGATAGATCTAGGTGGACTGTTTCTCGCAGAAAGACCTCTTTGAAGTCTTTGTTCCTGAGAAGAAGAACTCAAGGTGCGACACCCGCCGGCGGAACCTTCACTTCCTCTCCTAACTGGTGAAAAACGATCCAACGATTTTTGTTCTCTACCTAAAAAAACAGACAAAGATCCACTAAAGAGAATATATACCATGTTTCGCTTTATTAGTTTGTGTACTAAAAATTAATAATATTAATGGTAATTTAACAAAATGTTTCTCTTTCGGGATGAGTACTGAGTAAATAAACAATTGCAGAACCTAATGCCGTGAGAAATTCAGTGCAGTCGTAGTAGAAAGAGTTCTCATGCTCAGTCACGTTCTCTCATTCTGCGAGATAAGTATGACCAAGTGGAATTTAACGGCAGCTCAATATCCAGGTTCCATATTTTTTTGAAATTCATTTTATGTCTTCTTAGCGATACCGTTTTTTCTTATTTGAACCTGTTTAGATGATTTTTGCGAAAAACAGTTCTACACAAACTTAAATTAAAATTAAACTTTGCTTCTAATAGTTGCTGGGTGAACTAAGTAACTCTGTAACTATCAGTGCCGGTCCAAAGCCTGAATAAAGGAGGAGGGTTTGCGTCAGGAAGAGCATCCGGCAGTAAAAACCTTGCTAAAACCATGGAAAGGAAGAATATGAAAGATAGTTTAGAGGATAGGGCTTTCCCCGTTAACGATGCGCCTAACCCTTGCGAAAGTGAGGTAAAGCTACTCCTTAGAGGGCGAAAGGGGTCCAAGAAGCTAGTCCTGAGAGTTGCAGCTCACAACGTCGGAAGCATGACAGGTAAAGGAAAAGAGCTCGCCGATTTCATGAAGAGGAGAAGGATTGTTGTACTTTGTGTTCAGGAAACTCTTTGGAAAGGTAATAAGTCAAGAGATCTTGGAGAAGTATGCAAGTAAGTATATAGTAGTTCGAACAGTCACGGTAGAAATGGAGTAGGTATTTTTTTGAACAAGTTTTTGTAAGGGTAACCAGAATAATTGATAGCACCATGAGTGTCCAACTGAATACCAACGTGAACATCATATATATGTGCCCCACAGGTAGGGTGTGAAGAAAAGGAAAAGGAAGAATTTTGAAGGGACCTTGATGCGAGATGCTCGAGATTCCTGTAGACGAAAAGTGTCTTATTGGAGGTGATTTGAATGGACATATCGGTACAGAAGGAGCGGGAATAGAAACAGTTCATGGAGGTTTTGGGATTGGAATAAGAAATGATGAAGGAAATAGTGTGATTCACTTTGCAGTGGCATGGGATTTGGCTGTCATTAATACCTTCTTTATGAAGACTAAAGACCAGTATGTATATATAGCAGCGGGGGAAGGGAAAGTCAGAATGATTTTGTGTTATGTAGAAGATGTCAGCTAAAAGAGGTAAAGTGATAAAGGGTGAGTGTGTAGCTAGCCAAGACCAGCCGGTGATAGTGGATGCAGAGATAAAGATTAGGAAAGAAATGCAAGTAGGATACCAGTCTTTAAATGTAGAGAGTAAAAAAAGATAATAAAAATACTTTAATCATATTAAATGTAAACTTGAGCCCCATCTCTTTACTCTTGTCTGTCACGCAGTTCCTGCAAGTCTTCTACTATGTTTACTAGTAGTAAAGAACCACCATCTTCGTAACTAATATTATTTATAACTATCCCTTAACAGTTTGCAGTTCTGGTAAGGAATTTAAGATCAGTTGGAGAGGATTAAATAAAATTTGTCTGAAAAGGTGACCAACATTGGTATAAGCACAGAAATAAAGCAAATAATATTTATGTGGGTAGCGCCGTTATTAAAATTGGATATTTTGATGATAAATCTTATAGAAGCTATGTCGATATATTCGGCTACAAACTTTTTTAGAAAACTATTCAATAAATAGTCATATTTTATATTTGAATGGAAGCAAAACTTAAAAGCAATTTTAAGCAATTATCCCAGCTTTTCCTTTCGGAATTACCACCACAAATCTGTTATAAGTTCTGTCACCTATTTAGTCACTGGTGATTTAGTCAAACAAGCCCAATGAAAACATTTTCAATGGTTCCCATTTTAGCCAACCAAAATATAATTAGTCTGGACAAATTTTTAATAAAACAATTCAAAAATATTTTAAAAACTAATAAATTACTTATTTCTCAATTTGATGTTCTCATTACGCACAAGATAAATTCTATAGAAGAGAATTGAAATAATTACTGTACTGACAATGAAGCAAAATCTTATGATGTAAAATGGTAATTTACTATAAAATTTAAATTATCCAAAAGATTTCAGAAATCTCGGTTCTATCAGCGAAAACATCTTAATTGAAATTAGCTACATATAGCATGTAGTGTTTCTATGTCGGTTCTATGACAAAAGTTCCAAAGTATTAGCCAGATGGCGCTACTTTAATTTTAAATTAATTTACTTGTAGCGACCTCTATCGAAAGAAGGATGAATCTATGCTCTCATGCGCCGTAGTCGCTCTTGGAATCTACAATCTACATTAAAGACTGTCATAGTTCAGCTATTATCCGTTAGGCGGCCATTGTTTAACGTTCGTATGACTACTAGCATAGGGAAAATCAATGGGAGACCTGCAGAGTAGTGAAATCTGACGTTTGGCTCAATTATTTTTCTTTTTCGTCTCCCATCTGTCATCTTTAAGTCTTACTTTTCGTCTTTTAACTTATCTGTCAATTCTTCTTTTTAATCTGGTAAGTCATATGTCTTTTTCTTTTCGGTCTGTCAAGCCTTCTTCTTTCACGCGATAATTGCCAAACACCAGTTCTTACGGTGACGTATGAGATCTAGTTAGAAAGAGGATGAAAAATTGGGTTGAATTTTATACACGAGGTGTGTATTGCGGCATGCCAAAAAGGTCGTGATGACATAATGACTAAACGCCTAAGCGTAGGAGAGTTGTACGACATGTCACAGGATAAGTTTTACGAATACAATGCAATGTTCTTCTTTCACGCAGTAACACCTAAACGGTGTATCACAGGGAGACGTACGATAGCTCGTTGTAAATATTACCATTAATCCATCAAAATGCGGGAGAAATATCTTCCGGTATTCCAGAAAATATGTCTTTTATCCGTTCTCTCTATTATAAAGTACAATATATAACATATTCCAAAAAGTCTAGGACAGCCCGGCATTTGATTGATAAATATAATTGATGTTGTTTTTGGTCCGACTGTAACGTACGAAGGTTCGTTGGAAAGGGGATTGGACACCAATAAACTTTTAATACATGGTATCTTTATTATTGGTCAATCGTGAAGTACAAGGCGTCAAATGAAAGGAGAGTCGATGACAGATGTAAAAACATGTAAAAATTTTTTAATATTGTTCTGAAGCTATTTTCTTGTAGCATTGTAAATTAATTACTATTAAACTGGGAATAAGCCACAATTAAAGATAAAAATACGTTTATTGACGTTTCAATTTCCACTTCGGAAATCGTTCTCAAAATACAAGATTTCCGAAGTGGAAATTGAAACGTCAATAAACGTATTTTTATCTTTAATTGTGGCTTATTCCCAGTTTAATAGTAATTAATGTAAAAATTTAATATGGATTTATTGCCAAACGGGCATTATGTCACATTTTCTCTCTCGTTAGACTGATTTTAACGTACAAGTCGTCAGATAAACGGAGAGCGGCGACGAAAACAAGGACATAGAAACATTAAACACAGCGAAATAGGACAAGAGGGCACTATATAATATCTTCGCTGTTATTGGTTTGATTTTAAAGTATAAGGCGATTTTTTAATAGAAAAATTTAACATGATGGCATTTTTAATTGCAGTAAGCGTTTTACTTTAAGGGAACATACAGATTCCTGTTTGAAAAAAGGACAATAGAGCCTTATGGTTGATATCAGCCAACTAACTACAACTTGAGTTAGTTTGCTGGTATCTTAGTTAGCAGCACATGGTTTCTGAATACTTTCAGTAGTTAAGGTAGGCGTTACTCCATCTTTGTCCATTGTCCTTAGTGTTTTCAACGTGTTTAGCTGATTGTTATCCTGTTCTTGTCTGAATAATGTCACTGTGTTATTTCGTTCCCACCTCTCGAATATTTATTTCGTTCTTGAGCTGTATAATTCACAAAATAAAGTGTATTACTGTCAGTAAAGGACGACAATATAAAAATCGGTGTCTCTAATATTTCATTCAACTTTTAACTTCAAATTCCTTAATTAAAAAAATATATATACAGATTACAAAAAACATCCACGACGTTTAGCCTATACAACATCTATAAAAAATATAGAACAATACATTTTACCTTTAATATTATTAGGAGGTTCAATGATTATTATGAAGAGATCACAATGGAAACATCGTTCGTTTTTCATAAAAAAAGGATAAATAATTCACGTAATAATGTAAGATGATCATGAAAATAAGAAGAATAATGTTTGTATGCTAGTATCCCTTTTTTTACACTGTACAATACCGTCAAGCGCACTTAAAAGGACATCGATATCAAAAAGATATAAGTTCATGTAAAAAAAATCAAGAGTGTCTGAAAAGCTATGTAGAATTTGTTTCTTTCTTTTGCCAGGGGATTCTTCTTCATCCAGGACACCTTCTGGCGGTATTTTTCCATCGATTATTATATAGACCTATAAAAAAATCATAATTAAAGTGGAATCCACTTAAATGGTGATGGTTGGTATCTAAAGCACTTTGCAAATCATAAATGTCAATGCGTGACATTATCATATCAATATAAACGTTGTTTAAAAATACATTATTCTCAACTTATTATGAAAACCAAAAAAATCAAACTAATAGAAGTTGTATTTGTCAAATCTTTTGAAGAATTTACCGCCATTTACATTGACTGTAGGTTTATTTCTTTATTTGTATGTAATTACATACAATAATCCATACGATGATATACGATAATTTTAACAACGGCGAACGGTTTTCTGACTGCGCTGACCTGGCAACACTGACTTCTTTTCTCAATGCTAATGCCGAACTCGGCTTCACTTCATCTGTACCTTTCAGATACGAATTGTTTATCTACTAGTTTAATATCTGTATGAAAACAAATAAGTTAGGTTATGTATCTGGCAGTCTATGCAAGTAGCTAAAATTCCAACTCCCCAACTCTCGTTATTTTAATTGCATAGACTAATTTAATTAGTTT